TATCAAGTCCACTGTCGGATGCTGGGAATCATGACAACTACTATGGCAGACGACTTCGGACTAAGTGCGTCCTACATGGTCTTCCTGAAAATAAGACCAAGTTGCGACAACGAGGTAAACCCACTTCTGTTAATTTTTACTTGAGAGGAAAAGCTTCCAGAATTGCGCTAACTCGTGTAAAATGTATGGCATCTTTAACGAGAAGCTGAACAATTTATTTAACTGATTAGCAATGCTGATACAGGTGAGATGGTAACTGCCTTTTTTAGGTGAGAAGCTTTTATGGAAATGGAACAACCTATAATTCAACTTCATTCTCTCGAATTCTTCGCTTTACACCCCAATATTGAATATCCAATATCATTAAAATAGTAATGAAATAATTTTGCAAGCAATATTAACAGGTTACCTAACAAAAAGCAAGAAATATCGTAAGAGGAAGAGAATAAATTTAGCCTTATTAATAATGAAGTAAAATAAATAAATAATCAATGCTAAAGAGCACAGATGTTGCAAATTTCAAGGTCTAAACTCTCAGGTTAAAAGACACCAAAAATCACCTTTATCTAGCCAATTTAATCTAATTTAAAGGCTAGATCACTAGGACCATCACCCTAGAATGTATAATTTTTTTAAGCTCATGTCATCGATTTTATGCAAACCATCAGCTAGACTATAGCAATAGTGTTTATGAGACCTTCATTTCGTATGAAAGTGCGTAATTGAGTCTATATAAAAGGCAAGCTAGATCCTGATATTATTCTTGACCTAGTATTAACGTGAGAATGAGTTCAAGCTCTGATGTTGTCCATGATATGATAAACGAAAGCTCAGCTCGTTTTCATCCGAAGCAAGGGAGGATTTCTCGTGGACTGCGTCAAGCTCAATGTCGTATTAAAGCCAAACGGCTGCAGTGCAACAAGATTCACTCGTCGTAATTTGGTGAGAGTAATCTACGAATCTCTTCTTCATACACTTTCATAGGAAATGAAGGTCTCTCCAAAAATGCTATCTCAAGAGACTGGGCAGACTTGCCCAGTCTTAAATTACACATGTAAATTGTGATAGACGATAGCTTCTAATTTTAATATCTGACGCTCACGAAACACTACAAATTATATTATAGGCGATTGGTGAAAAATTTACGGCGTAAAAAGACACGTTATAGAGGATAAATAAATTAACTTGTAATTTAGTTAATGGTGAAAGAGAAAGCCCGAATCAAGCCTTATATTGAAGTCATCTTAACAGCATAAATATCAAGCCTCAACAATCCAGGATAACAAAACGCTCTTGGAATAAAATAATGTATTTAGTTTATTAATTTGTAATGCTCATAGAAACGACTTTACACCAGCCCCTTAGTCCTAGAAAGACAGTGTAAGTGAAATTACTTTTGCTGTTATGACTCCTTCATTCGTTGTAATTGTATAAAAAAATAATTTTAAGGGTTCATACTAGAGCAAGGAGCAAAAGTTTTCTTTTCGACCTTCAACAACTGTATAAAGCCCATCCAGATGATATTGCAGATGGAGGCTTTATACTTGGGCTGAAAAATTGCCGATGGGAGTAATGTGGCGCTCAAACGAAAGAAGCATAGAATATATGAAGACCAAGATGTTGTGGCCTTTGTTATAGTCGCACCCACTTCTATAAAAAAAGTAATGGCCAAAATAGACAGTATTGGGTGAAGAGATCTGCTTCTCTCTCGCATTGAGACCGAAAACCAAAAATAGGCTCATCAACAAAACCAGACGTGTCCGACCTTGCG